CACGATTTTACACATATCTGCAACTCTACAGGTGAAGAATAACCTCTCATTAGACGTTTTTTATGTTCTGTAGTTCCTTTAAAGCCGAACATTAGCCACCTTTAGCTTAGCGGTGGTGACATGAAGTCATGTGACCGTGCTGTAGTTCAACATTAGCCACCTTTAGCTTAGCGGTGGTCAGGGGCGGATCTAGACAAATATTCATGGGGTGGCAAGAGGGTGGCAGGAGATTTTGAGGGGTGGCATCCCCTGACAGAAGTATATGCTGATTTAAATCGCAATCATATCAATCCATTAGGGGTGTACCCGTACTGAAATTATTCGGTACGGGCCCTTCGGTTCGGTACCGAACGAATATAGCGTTAAATGTAAAAAATTGAGAACATGAACAACTTTCTGGAAGTAATCTCAGGTATATATCATAGAGCGAGCAAGTCATTTCATTGGACGAGAGGCATACTATGAGAGCTGGTCACAGGGATGCGTTCAAATGTAGTCAGTAATTTGAGGAACTGTCGAAATGGCGAACGCAGATAAAGTTGAGCTCGAAAATCCTACAGCATCATTGAAGTCTCCGGTTTGGGAACATTTTGGTTTCGCAGTTACGTACAAGGATGACGGGCAAAGACAGGTGGACTGAACCAAAGCTGTTTGTCGGCATTGTTCAACTAACATTGGTTACGCGGCTGGCAATACATCAAACTCATTTGAAAAGGCATCACCCGAATGTGAATATCACCGGTACCAAAAGAAAAAAGACTGAAGTGCAAACCCAACACCCACTAGCATTTAAGCCTCCACCACTCGCAAAGAGTTCAGACCGAGCCAAAGCTATTAGAAACGCCAAATATCCTTATGTTGCCATGTTAGCAAAGCGCTACTTGGCTGTATCTGCTGCCACTGTCCCTAGAGAGGGTGTTCTCCACAGCAGGAGACATTGTTAGTGCCAGCAGATCTGCCATTTCAGAAAGCAATGTGGACAAGTTCATCTTTCTTTAAACAACATGAAAATACAATGACAAGCAAGTCCTAATGTCAAGCTGGCTGCTTAGGTACAGTACAGTTCAAATACAGATTATTTCAGTTCATCGAAATGCTGCACCTTAATGTTTATTTTACTATATTTTGTATTTATTTGAATACATTAGTCACAGTTTAATAATAATTTAAAAAAAATATTTAATGTTTTGTGATAATTTTTTCTGCTGTACCGAAAACGTACCGAACCGAACCGTGACCTAAAAACCGAGGTACGTACTGAACCGAAATGTTTGTGAACCGTTACACCCCTACAATCAATGTTAACTTGGAAAGCCACAATATTAATATTTTAACTCAATCACATAGGTGATATTATTGTGGCACATCAGTAAAGCCTTACATATAAATATATAAGGTGGCAGACGTAATTTAATGAATTTTAACTGAACAATAACTGAATGAGTTTGTCTCACTCTTAGACCAGCAGGGGAACCAAATCTATGCAGACTGCTGCAATAAGTACATTAATTATGTTTGGCTCTATGAAACCTGATGTACTTATATGATTCTGTTTTCTTCAAGGTTGTGTCTTCCTGGTCGAATGTACTTATTGTAAGTCGCTTTGGATAAAAGCGTCAGCTAAATGCAATGTAATGTAATGTAATTAACTGTCTCATTGATGTTTGTCTGAATGAATATGATACTATTAACAATCATATTATTCCTATCAGCTGTCAATCACTGTTAATAAATAATAATAGATTTAATTTGTTCGCGTTTTTACAGGTGCTCAAAGACGCTTTACAGATATAGTGAAGAACTGTTATGATTCACATATTCATTTATTATTGAATAAACTATATTTTTTGGAGGAGTTAATGATGAATGTTCATCAAGATGCTTGCTCACCCTCCTTCAAATTTGAAAACAAGTAATTATATCATTATTGATATACAGTTACAACCTTGACTTTACATCAGAAAGAACAAACATTAAAGAAGTGACTAACTGCATCAGTTAGGGTTAAAAAACGTGTATTCAGCTAAAACATAAACATCGCTGCAGTTATTATCCAGTGGAAAGTCCTTACCTACTGGCCTAGTTAAATCAAAGTGGTTACTTTCTGTTGGCTGGGCAGTGTAGTTTTACACACCGTCTTATTTTACTTTCTCAGGACTTAAAACTGTTTTTTGGGGGCAGACCCCCTCAAAGAAAAAAATATATACACGCATACAAGGTCATCATCTTAACAGTTTGTTATTCTCATCGAGTCATCCGTGAGCAGAGCATCAAGTTGGCATGTCTATTACAGCTGAATGCGGTGATTACTATTTTGTTCAGCAAAACGCCTCACAAACGTATTAAGATCAACAGCTTTAGTGCGTTTTGATTCAATGCTGAGTACAGCCAAACTGACAGTCTCTGTCATTGTAGACCGCAACTACCTCATTCCTTCAGTGCTTGGGTCCGAATGCTTCTCGTTTTGCGCCGTCCCGTTCAAGTGAATTCGCCACCAATCATATTTCCACTCTCGCGCCAGGACCGGGGGAGGGGTTACATGACGTGCATCTTGTGCTGCATTCACTTGCACTCGGACATTAGAGACTTTCTCTCATAAATGTCCGATGAGCCACAACTTTTCTTTCAAAACAAAGATGCCAACTGGGGTGGCAGCTGGGGTGGCAAGGCTATTGTTTAGGGTGGCAGTTGCCACCCCATGCCACCCCGGTAGATCCGCCCCTGGCGGTGGTGCCGTGAAGTCATGTGACCGTGCTGTAGTTCCTTTATAGCCCAACATTATCCACCTTTAGCTTAGCGGTGGTGACTTGAAGTCATGTGACCGTGCTGTAGTTCCTTTACAGCCCAACATTAGCCACCTTTAGCTTAGCGGTGGTGACTTGAAGTCATGTGACCGTGCTGTAGTTCCTTTACAGCCCAACATTAGCCGCCTTTAGCTTAGCGGTGGTGACTTGAAGTCATGTGACCGTGCTGTAGTTCCTTTATAGCCCAACATTATCCACCTTTAGCTTAGCGGTGGTGACTTGAAGTCATGTGACCGTGCTGTAGTTCCTTTACAGCCCAACATTAGCCACCTTTAGCTTAGCGGTGGTGACTTGAAGTCATGTGACCGTGCTGTAGTTCCTTTACAGCCCAACATTAGCCTCCTTTAGCTTAGCGGTGGTGACGTGAAGTCATGTGACCGTGCTGTAGTTCCTTTACAGCCCAACATTAGCCACCTTTAGCTTAGCGGTGGTGACGTGAAGTCATGTGACCGTGCTGTAGTTCCTTTATAGCCCAACATTAGCCACCTTTAGCTTAGCGGTGGTGACGTGAAGTCATGTGACCGTGCTGTAGTTCCTTTACAGCCCAACATTAGCCACCTTTAGCTTAGCGGTGGTGACTTGAAGTCATGTGACCGTGCTGTAGTTCCTTTACAGCCCAACATTAGCCACCTTTAGCTTAGCGGTGGTGACTTGAAGTCATGTGACCGTGCTGAGGTTCCTTTATAGCCCAACATTAGCCACCTTTAGCTTAGCGGTGGTGACTTGAAGTCATGTGACCGTGCTGTAGTTCCTTTACAGCCCAACATTAGCCACCTTTAGCTTAGTGGTGGTGACTTGAAGTCATGTGACCGTGCTGTAGTTGCTTTATAGCCCAACATTAGCCACCTTTAGCTTAGCGGTGGTGACTTGAAGTCATGTGACCGTGCTGTAGGTCCTTTACAGCCCAACATTAGCCACCTTTAGCTTAGCGGTGGTGACGTGAAGTCATGTGACCGTGCTGTAGTTCCTTTACAGCCCAACATTAGCCACCTTTAGCTTAGCGGTGGTGGCGTGAAGTCATGTGACCGTGCTGTAGTTCCTATATAGCCCAACATTAGCCACCTTTAGCTTAGCGGTGGTGGCGTGAAGTCATGTGACCTCGCTGTAGTTCCTTTATAGCCCAACATTTTCTGCATTGGCCTACATAAATACGTCATCTCTGCACCACTGTATGGAGGGAGGAAAGGAAGGTGCAGAACATCCCTGATCTGATGGGTAAAGGAAAGACAGTGTGATAATGGTAAAAGTGCAATTAGATTAAATCCCTTTTTACAATCGAGAATATCGACAGGGTTATCGGGTAACCATGGGAACAGGAGGAAGGCAAAAGAATGGAGACAAGAGATGATCCTCGAAAATCAAGGCTGCAAACAGCATTCAGTAAATAGCTGTGAGTGAAGATGCAGATGATGAGGGAAGGAAAGAAGGAGGATGTTTAATGGAGGCTAATTCATCAGGGGTTCGTTAACGACGACTTAATTACCTCCTGAAAAGTCTGCTGAGATCTGCCCTTTTTTCAGTTCTCTCTATCTCCATACGTAGCATTTGATTCAGAAGCTAACCTAATTAAACTGGCAAACACACACACACACACACACACACACACACACACACACACACACACACACACACACACACACACACACCAGAGGGGGTCTTACTGAGCAGAGCGATAAGGAGGATTCATAAAGACAGATTCAGGCTGCAGCAGCGACACGGCAGTGAGACGATGGAAAAAACCTAATTCTATTATGTGGAGAATAAATAAAAAATATATCTGGCATCGCAGCATTTAATCCAGAAGGATGACGCCTTGTGTTGAAGACAATATGCAGTCTAATGTCTCTTCTGTTTCTGCTGCCTCTTAACAATGTGCTTTTCTCTCGTAAACGATATACAGACGAACAAATGACATCCTTTTAAGGTACCCTATTCTGCTTTTTGGGGCTTTTCCTTTCCCTGTATTATGTTATATGCTCATGTTCAGGTTAGTATGTGTTGCTTCCACGGTGACGTGTTTCCATGCTTTAATGTTCAGGAAAGGGAAAACTTAAATCCACCCGTGGGGTATTTACTGACGTATTTGAAGTCGTAGAAAAAAATATTCCTCCACCTTATTTCAGGATAACAACCAAAAACACATTCAGAAAAACATCAACTTCGACACTAGGGAAGTGATTAAAGTCATTCATTTCTGTGTTTTAGGACTCACTCTTCTGCACCTGTTCCTCTCCTATCCATTATCTTAAAGAGGGGGTATGTAATTCACTTCAGAAACACTTGTTATATTCCATGGAATGCTCTTAACATCCCGATAGCAATGAATACATTAAATGCTTTGACAATAAATACATTAAAAAATGTCCTCTGTTGAAGCCGTGGCGCTGTAAAAAGCACGACCAATCATCTGAGCCGGCTAAAGTAACTGGATGGCCTACCTGCCTGTCAGCCTTCCATCTGGGCACAAACTGATCTCGTGCCCTCATTGGTCATGTGCGCGTTCGTGTGTGTTGGAGGAGGGGCTCTGTTACCTCATTCACACCAACGGTGTTTCAGGGCCGGTTCGGAGCCGGAGCTTGAAAAGCACCGGGTTTTCCTGTTCACACCGCAGCGGAGCAGCCTCTTAGCTCCAGAATCCGGTTCGTTTCAAGCACCAACAAATTGTCCGGCCAGAGCAAAAGCACTGCATACGTCACGCTTACGTCGAGGCGGGGGCGGGATCAAGCAGTGGTCCACTGAAGAGACCAGCTACCTACTTGGAATCTGGTCTGCCGAAGAGGTACAGAGGAAGCTGGAGCACAATCGGCCATTGTTGTTGTTGTCGGTGTGAGGGGTTTCCGTGCGGTTTGGTTTTATGAAGCAGGCACGCAAACGGTTACGTCATGATGACGCAATGACGCAGCACCAGTCGGACTCTGGGCTGTGTGAAAAGAGCCAGAGCTAAACCGAAGAACCGGTTCTGAACCTGAAAAGCTCTAGCACGGAGCTTGAACCGGAGTTGCGTTGGTGTGAATGAGGTATCTGTAAGGAAGTGGCAGATTTTGATCCGGTTGTGTATTTTCAAATTCTAGCGCACTCGAGCTGGTTTCTCCAAAATTACCTACCCCACCTTTAAGTGAAGTTCTCTATTTTAGCATCCTTCCTTCCTTTCCTTCCTGCAGAAGATTATATGGTTATCAAATGCAACAGCAAACAGGTATCTGCAGGTGATGACAGAGTGAGTGGAAGGTGTTTTTGCGTGAAACAGCTAAAGATAGCTCGTATAGATCGGCGTCTACATATGTTTTCCTCCTCATCCTTTGGCTATCTCTCTCCGACAACAAAACAGCTGATGTGTAACGTGACCATGGTAACGTGGCCTGAATTGGAAAAAAAGAGTGAGAGTTGTAGCAGTTAGCGGTTAGCATAGCAACACAGCAACCCTTCTTCACCCTCAGATTCAATAACAGCCTCCTCATGCATTCTTTGTCTTCCGTCTCTCGTTTGTCCTATATCTAAAATCTAAAAGTCAACATCTGAGAATAAAAGTCAAAATAAAAATAATTCTGAGAAAAAAGTAAAAATTCTGAAAAAGTCAAATTTATAAGTAAAAAAAAAACGATCTTCTTTGTTTTCCGCCTCTCTTCTGTCCTTGCAGCCATTGACCTGCTGTACGGAGGGATTTACTGCTTTATGTGCCAAGACTACATCTATGACAAAGACATGGAACAGATTGCCAAAGAGGAGCAGAGGAAAGCCTGGAAGATGCAAGGTATGACGGCCAAACACACACTGTAAGAGCTATTCAGTGCTTTGTGCTATTTCATGGCTAGACGGTTATTTCTTGGTTTTTATCCTGCGTAAGATTCTCTAACTTGTTTGTTGTTTTATTCGTTTTTAGTTTGAGGACACCATGACACGTGTTGCTGCTCTTTGTGTATGAGTCAAATTGACATATGAAGTGTGTTTATTATGTGTGTGTGTGTGTGTTTCAGGGATCGGGGAGAAGTACTCGACGTGGGAGCCCACCAAGAGGGAGCTGGAGCTGCTCCGCCACAACCCCAAGAGGAGGAGAATCACCTCCAACTGCACTATTGGTCAGTGACACACACACACACACACGCACAGAAGCACACACAGAAGCACGCGCACACACACACACACACGCACAGAAGCACACACAGAAGCACGCGCACACACACAGAAAAAAAGTCCAAATTCTGAGAAAAAAGTCTGAGAAAAGTAAAAATGTTGTGAAAAAGTCAAAATCTAAGAAAAAAGTCCAATTCTGAGGTAAACGTAAAAAAAAAAAAAAATTCTGACAAAAGTCTAAATTCTGACAAAAAAGTCAAATTCTAAGAAAAAGTGAAATCCGACTGTTCTTTCTGTCCTATTACAATACCGCTCCTCGCTGTACAGATGTCTTACATTAATGATTTGATAATAAAGCACACTTATCAAACAGTATTGCTAACAATGGCTAACCCCGTAAGCTGTAAACAAGCTTCAACAAGGTTCATTGAAACTCTCCGGGTGTTTCTCAATGTCAAGGAAGGATGCTCCAGAGCCACTATTTCAAGAGGCGCTTTCACACCGCAGTACTTTTCCCACTTTAGTTCCGATATAGTTCCGAAATGTCGCGTTCACACCAAAAAAATCCGGAACTAAAATGAGTTAATCAGAACCTTTTTCTCCCCCTTTTCAAAAAAGGGGGAGAAAAAGGTTCCTGTGTCTGATTGGCTGGGAGGATTGCAAACCACGCCCCGTAAAACTCCCAAAAAGTTTTGTGAAGCCGCCATTTTATTATCCTCGCATTAGCATTATTAGCATTAGCCCAGCGCAGAAACGCAGAGAGACTAACTTATGGCAGCACAAAAAAAAACATGGGAGATGAGGAGGTGTCGGCGTTCTGGCGATTTACTCGGGTGGCAGTATACGCCGTGAAGTTGTTTGCGGCCTGCCAGTAAACCCAAAGCAGAAGAAGAAGAAGTGACGTCAGCGGCTTCATTTGCCTAATCCTCCCTCAGGGACTTATTCCGGTGTGAACGCGATCGGCTCTTAGTTCATGAGAACTAAAGAGTTCTGATGAACCTTTGTGGGAAAAGTACTGCGGTGTGAAAGCGCCTATCGAGTCCCGCCGAAGGACTGTTCCAATGTCCAGGCTCCTTGCAATTCTACCGAGCCCGGCTTCCTTCGTAGCGAGAAATTTCGAGGCTGCATATGTGTATCCTCCGTGGTCTTAAAATCCCCACAATGCTTTGCGCACGGACCAATTTCCAAATCTTTGGCGGAAATTGCGCTCCATTTAAGGCGGGGCCTCGAATATGACGCACACCTGTTAGCCTGTTAGCCATTCTTCGTTTTCCGAGGCTAGGAAGGATTCTTGCCTCGCTTCTGAAGCATCTGACTCGGAGGGACATGTACTACCAAGGAAGCCTCCTCGACATTGAGAAATACCCTCCGACGTCAGTAAACTAGTATGTTACTTCACTCCCATTCACAACCTCTGACTTCCAATGTTTTATAATATAACATTTTTAGTTCTTCCGTATTATTTGTCAAATTAAAAGTCAACATTCTAAGAACATAATCTAAGAAAAAAGTCAAAATTCTTAGAAAAAAAGTCAAATTCCACCATGTTTTTTTGTACTATTACAAAACCGCTCCTCACTGTACAGATTTCTACATATTCATTATTTGATAATAATGAATAAATAATTTCTTTACCCCCCACAATCCTTTTCTCCTCCCCTCAGGCCTGAGAGGGCTGATCAACCTGGGCAACACGTGCTTCATGAACTGCATCGTGCAGGCGCTGACTCACACTCCTCTGCTCAGAGACTTCTTCCTGTCCGACAGACACAAATGTGAAATGCAGAGCAACTCCTGCTTGGTGTGTGAGATGTCGCAGCTCTTCCAGGAGGTAACTCATCCTAAAATAATATGGGTAGACGAATAAGAGGAGTTTCATACACACACCAGAGATGGCAAAAGTAAACACATCCTTTACTCGAGTAGAAGTACAGATACTGGTGTTTAAAAGTACTCTGGTGAAAGTAGAAACTTCTTTACTCAAGTCAAAGTAAAGCGGCTTTGAAGTGTACTTCAGTAAAAAGTACCCATAACTAGCAGCTGCTTTAAAGAGTACCTGACCTCCCTTTATATTAATAGAACAATAATGTAATTGTTAGCTAATGAATGTTTCCATGCTGAACAACGGCAACATGACAACGTTTCCATTGGTCCCTCTTCTTTAGAGAAGACCAGGAAATGATGGATACACGGATCGTGTTCAAATCAATAGGCACGCAATGACTCTAAAGAATAATGATCACGCATCAAACACACATTCAGACTAAAGGAACCAGCTGTTTGGGAAATGAGAGAAGTAGAAAGTACAGGTATTTGAGTTCAACATGTAAGAAGTAGAAAGTACAGGTATTTGAGTTCAACATGTAAGAAGTAGAAAGTACAGGTATTTGAGTTCAACATGTAAGAAGTAGAAAGTACAGGTATTTGAGTTCAACATGTAAGAAGTAGAAAGTACAGGTATTTGAGTTCAACATGTAAGAAGTAGAAAGTACAGGTATTTGGGTTCAACATGTAAGAAGTAGAAAGTACAGGTATTTGAGTTCAACATGTAAGAAGTAGAAAGTACAGGTATTTGAGTTCAACATGTAAGAAGTAGAAAGTACAGGTATTTGGGTTCAACATGTAAGAAGTAGAAAGTACAGGTATTTGAGTTCAACATGTAAGAAGTAGAAAGTACAGGTATTTGTGTTCAACATGTAAGAAGTAGAAAGTACAGGTATTTGTGTTCAACATGTAAGAAGTAGAAAGTACAGGTATTTGAGTTCAACATGTAAGAAGTAGAAAGTACAGGTATTTGTGTTCAACATGTAAGAAGTAGAAAGTACAGGTATTTGAGTTCAACATGTAAGAAGTAGAAAGTACAGGTATTTGACTTCAACATGTAAGAAGTAGAAAGTACAGGTATTTGTGTTCAACATGTAAGAAGTAGAAAGTACAGGTATTTGTGTTCAACATGTAAGAAGTAGAAAGTACAGGTATTTGTGTTCAACATGTAAGAAGTAGAAAGTTACAGGTATTTGTGTTCAACATGTAAGAAGTAGAAAGTACAGGTATTTGTGTTCAACATGTAAGAAGTAGAAAGTACAGGTATTTGTGTTCAACATGTAAGAAGTAGAAAGTACAGGTATTTGTGTTCAACATGTAAGAAGTAGAAAGTACAGGTATTTGAGTTCAACATGTAAGAAGTAGAAAGTACAGGTATTTGTGTTCAACATGTAAGAAGTAGAAAGTACAGGTATTTGTGTTCAACATGTAAGAAGTAGAAAGTACAGGTATTTGTGTTCAACATGTAAGAAGTAGAAAGTACAGGTATTTGTGTTCAACATGTAAGAAGTAGAAAGTACAGGTATTTGTGTTCAACATGTAAGAAGTAGAAAGTACAGGTATTTGGGTTCAACATGTAAGAAGTATAAAGTACAGGTATTTGAGTTCAACATGTGAGAAGTAGAAAGTACAGGTATTTGAGTTCAACATGTAAGAAGTAGAAAGTACAGGTATTTGAGTTCAACATGTAAGAAGTAGAAAGTACAGGTATTTGAGTTCAACATGTGAGAAGTAGAAAGTACAGGTATTTGAGTTCAACATGTAAGAAGTAGAAAGTACAGGTATTTGTGTTCAACATGTAAGAAGTAGAAAGTACAGGTATTTGGGTTCAACATGTAAGAAGTAGAAAGTACAGGTATTTGAGTTCAACATGTAAGAAGTCAAAGTAAAAAGTCGTCAGAAAAATAAGCAGTGGAGTAAAGTACTGATACCAGAACAATGTACTTAAGTACAGTAACAAAGTATTTGTACTCCACTACTTCCCACCTCTGACACACACACACACACACACACACACACACACACACACACACACACACACACACACACACACACACACACACACTCTTCTCTCTCCAGTTCTACTCAGGCCACCGGTCTCCTCACATCCCGTTCCGCCTCCTCCACCTGGTCTGGACTCACGCTCGTCACCTGGCAGGATACGAGCAGCAGGACGCCCACGAGTTCCTCATCGCCGCGCTGGACGTCCTGCACAGACACTGCAAAGGTTTCACATCCCACACACTTTAGATTTTACTGCATCGAGAGGAAGGAGCTCACACACTCATGAGAAGCAGAATCTCTTGTTGCCCAAAGTGGTGAAACACACATTGATATGATTGGACGATACTACCAAAAATCCTGATCAGAGCCCCCTTAGTTTTCACATAAATACACCGTGTGCACGTAGACAAAACCCCTAAAATGTGTGTGTGTTTCGTTCTCCTTTGCAGACGACAACGGGAAGAAAGCCAACAACCCGAACCACTGTAACTGCATCATCGATCAGATCTTCACGGGGGGGCTGCAGTCTGACGTCACCTGCCAAGTGTGCCAGTAAGTGTGAACTCTTTTTTAATAATTTGCTCGTTGTTTGCATATACTGTATGTTATTGTGCCACATGTATCGTTTTTGTTCTGTTATAATGCCGTGTGTGTGGCCTAGCATTACTATACTTGTGGGGACCTAAATCTGTTTACACAGTCACGTGTGGGGACTCGCCTCCCTTATGGGGACAAATTGGAGGTCCCCATAAGGGGAATCATTAATTTTAGGGTGAAGACTGTGTTGAATGTGTTGGTTCTGGTTAAGGTTAGGATAAGTCTCCAGGAAATGCATGTAAGTCAATGTAATGTCCCCTGAAGTGTGTGTGTGTGTGTGTGTGTGTGTGTGTGTGTGTGTGTGTGTGTGTGTGTGTGTGTGTGTGTGTGTGTGTGTGTGTGTGTGTGTGTGTGTGTGTGTGTGTGTGTGTGTGTGTGTGTGTGTGTGTGTGTGTGTGTGTGTGTGTGTGTGTGTGTGTGTGTGTGGCTCTCTAGCTCCACCTGCTGGACAAAGGGAGAATATTCAACTCTGGGATCTTACACTTGAAAATGCATTCCTACTTTTTTTCAAGATTAAATATTCAAGGCTTTTATTGTCATAGCTACAGTGTAGTTATGGCAATGAAATTATTAGATCACTATAAGCCATATAGGGTTTTGTAAAGCTAATGCATGGCAATATACAAATAAAACATCAACAGAGTGCTGTGTGGTACTTGTTCTAGTCTAGGGCGGCACGGTGTGGACAAATGAACAAATTGCAATTATTTTGACTGATATGGCAAATGCGAAATTATCCACAATATTAGATATCGATTGTTTGTAATGTGATCGATTGTTTGCTTTACATCATACTCTCAGTATCTTGGAAAAATATATCAAAATGTGATGTTTTCAGAGGATCTGTACCATCACATATGTTTCATTTAGTCTGTAGAATATGATACGTAGAAACCACAATACTTCATTTAAAATGCCTTTTAAAAAAACGACTGTGCTTCAAATGGTCGTAGAAGAGCCCGGATGGATTTGAAGGCGAAGTGCCGTAGTTTCAAATCTCCCTTTTTTTGTTTCTCTCTCACTTATCTGAATAAAAAAAGAAATCACACGGTACAGTTTAGATTTATATTCAATCTAATATTTAATAATCCATTCCTTGCACAATTAATATATATATATAATATCCTGCTTATATTTTGTTACTGTATATTTGTATTTCCACATGTTTTTTAAAAACTTTTTTAATGCTATTTTATTGTTTACATTTTTTGGAACATTTTATTCCTAGTCTTTGTTTTTTTATGCATGCTTCTTAGTTAACATTAAGCTGTCTTTGGCTCTTTTCTGTACATTTCCCCTCTGTGGGACTAATTAAGAAGGACTCTGATTGACTGCGCTGATAATTAGTCTTCCAGTCACACTTTACTTCACGGAGTAGTTTTCCTTTATTTAGACAGACATTTTAGGGAGGTTTTAAACCACTGCACTTGGCCTGCAACTCCTAATGTCCATCTGATTCTGATCCTTGTGTGTCTGAATAAAGGGGAACTCCACAGTGAAGTGTGACTGGAAGACCAATCATATATAGACATTGTTATTCATTGGGATAAACCCCTTGAGACGCACCATCTCGTTTTCAAGGGGGTCCCGACAATAGCAACAACTTACAGACATACACAAAAAGACAAAATGCAAAACATGACACACAAGACAAACCACATGCAGTCTGTGAAGTGAAATTCAAGCAATGCACACAATCATTACAATTTGAGACAGTCAAGCAAATCAGTTTCATTAATATCAGTTATAACAAGTGCAGACCAGCTGAAAGTGAGATAACAATGCATGTTTAAATAAACCCAATGATGACAGAGATCTAATAGCAGCAGGTAAAGTATTCCAGTCAGTTGGGGCTTTGAACATGAACGCTCTTCTGCCAATCAATTTGTTTGCAGAGGAGACAGAGAAATAAATCTGAACAGAATGTCTAACTTGATGATTTGGTGAGTAGGGTACAAAATACTGCTTTAAATAAAGGGGATAGTTAAGATAAATGCATTTAAATATCAGCTGAAGCCAATGCGTGTGTCTTCTTACATTTAAAGAAGGTTGTACTTGTGCAGTGATGTGTATGAAAAGGACAACCAAGAACAAATCTGCATAGTCTATTGTAGGCTATGTTGAGTCTACAGATATGTGCAGCGTGTTCCTCTTCTCATGCATCCTCTTCTCGTGTCCTCCTCCCAGCGGCGTCTCCACCACCATCGACCCGTTCTGGGACATCAGTCTGGATCTGCCCGGCTCCTCCTCCCCCTTCTGGCCTCTCAGCCCCGGGGGGGACGGGGCGGCGCTGAACGGAGAGAAGAACCACGCCTCGGGGGCCACGACGCTCACAGACTGTCTGCGCAGGTAACGGGCGTTAAAGGTCTCCTATTATACTATTTTTTAGGCATATATTATAGGTCTCAGAAATATAAAAACATGTCTATGAAGTGTTTTGCTCAAAATACCAAACAGATCATGCATTTTAGACATCCCTCATATCCCTCTGTTTCAGCCCTGTTACTAACGGGCTGATTCTGGGTCTAAAGCTTAAAAAAAAGACATTTGAAAAGAAAAAGAGGGGGCGGAGCTTATGCAGGAGAATTCTACCCAGAAACTCAGCTAAATGCTGCGGTGATTAAACGCCATATCATGTTCCAAACCACATCAAGGATTCTCTCTGAAACAGTCTGGAGCTCAAATGCTTTTTCTCTCTCAGGTTTACCACAAGGTGAGTTCCTTTTTGTTTCCTGCTTCTTAACACATACTCTCTCCACTACAGGTTAGCTCTGAGTGTTAGCGATGCTAATGTAAACAAAGACCATATTACGTCCAAAACACGTCACGCAACGTTTCTGATAGCAACGTTTCTGATTGGGCCGTGGGTCCACATTTCAGATATTACGTGATATCGGATGCAAATCTGGATCATCTCCGTTGTATCCCCCATTTTTAGAGATGTGGGTACGGAGGAAAAGAGAGAGGGTTTTATTTTCTGACGCTGCGTGAGTTCCCTGACACACCGGGGGACACGTTGATGTATAAAAGACATCAGAAAGTGCATTTTGCATGATAGGAAAACTTTAAGGCGCACACACACCACACACACACAACACACACACCACACACACACACACACACACACAACACACGCACACACACACACACACACACTCACACGCACAGCACACAACACACACATTCTCTCTCTCTCTAAATCTCCTCTGGTTTCAGGTTCACTCGGCCGGAGCACCTCGGCAGCGGCGCCAAAATCAAGTGCAGCGGTTGCCATAGTTACCAGGAGTCGACCAAACAGCTGACCATGAAGAAACTTCCCATCGTCGCCTGCTTCCACCTCAAAGTGAGACTGACTGATGATGATATATATAGATATATTTATATATATATATAGATAGATATATTTATATTTATATATATATACATATAGATATTATTAATCAGAGCGGAGTTATAATTCCCTGTTTCTGCTTCCAGAGGTTTGAGCACTCGGCCAAACTGCGGAGGAAGATCACCACGTACGTCTCCTTCCCTCTGGAGCTGGACATGACGCCCTTCATGGCCTCCAGGTGAACACACAATACACACAATTCAATAAGATGTGCATCTAGAGAAAGCAATTTCTGACTGTGTGTGTGTGTGTGTGTGTGTGTGTGTGTGTGTGTGTGTGTGTGTGTGTGTGTGTGTGTGTGTGTGTGTGTGTGTGGTGTGTGTGTGTGTGTGTGTGTGTGTGTGTGTGTGTGTGTGTGTGTGTTGTGTGTGTGTGTGTGTGTGTGTGTGTGTGTGTGTGTGTGTGTGTGTGTGTGTATATTCTGTGCTGTGTCCACCTCTTCTTGAGCGACATGAAACCAAAATATGTGTTTATTTGACTTGCAAAAAGACTGATTTCAACCAGTTGTAGATCAATAGTTGCATCTCTAATTTGCATCATTTGTCTATATGATGGCTATGGATATAAATGGCCCTAAGCTGAGAGTCGCACTGCAGTAAATGCTTTCTTTGTTAGGATGGATTTAAAGAGCGAACAGATATGTTTTATACAAAGAAAAACACATTTATTGCTGACTCTCAAAAACAGTTTTTCACAAGTGTGTCTTGCTGTGTTTCAGTAAAGAGAGCCGGATGAACGGGCAGTACCAGCAGACAGTGGACCCCTTCAACAACGACAACAAGTAAGACAAACATCGCTGAAATGAAAACTGTCTCTTTGGGTGTCCTTCCTGTATTCTGCTTTCTGAAGGAAATGAAATTAAATGCACATACCTTTTCAGCTCTGGCGAAATCAAAGATAACAACAACGTATTACGCTGAACCTTTTGTACATGTAGCATTTACTGAAACTGTTATTGATCCATGTGTTTCAGGTACAGTCTGTTTGCAGTGGTGAACCACCAGGGGACGCTAGAGAGCGGCCATTACACCACCTTCATCCGGCAGCACAAGGACCAGTGGTTCAAATGTGACGACGCCATCATCACCAAGGCCAGCATCAGGGACGTGCTGGACAGCGAGGGGTGAGACAGAGCACAGATAAAAAAAAGGCCACAAAACATATTATAAAACCTTAACGTCATGGAATAAGTATGATATCATATTTGTTCTTCACTACACTTTAAATGTGTACCTGTGGCTATGATTTGGAGTCGCTCCTGCTACAGCCGAAAAGGCCGATTTTATAACATAAAATAATGACTCCATCTATCGGTATTCCAGTAAAAAAAAGGGCTAAATGGCTAATTCCACAATGATAGCAACAAGTACCTTAACTACCCCTTTAACGTGTTCATGGTTAATAATTAATATGCCATACATAGCACTCAGTTAATGATCCACGATGAGAAGTTTTAAGTTGTGATATCCTTTTTTCCTATTAAACATCCCCAAGAAAACAAAATTGTTTTAATTTCTGGTATTGATAATCAAAGTGGCTCTGGGGGCTAGGCTAACATTATGCTTTTCCAGTGGCGAACCGTGGCCATCACAACTGGACCTTCTGTAGACACCCCCCCCCCCCCCCCCGGCGTTATAATGTCCGTCTTTTCACTGAATTGTCTTCTTGAAAAGGGTACTCACAACGATTCCGCAACATCTTCATCTTAACATTGCACTTGTCATTTCAACGTTAAAAACAATAAAACGGCATGAATTGCTTCGTCGCATTCATCTGATCCTCTGTCTCGAGCCAGTGAACTAGCGGGCCTTCTAGAATACCCTGGAACCGAGGGGAACTCTGGAAGAACACGCCCATTGGCTACAAATCAATATATGATTGGTTGATCAAACTGTCAGTCCAAACGTACGCTCTCATTCAGTGCAACGGCCAGGGCATTCGATCAAGGATGTAGAATACCTTGTTGAAGGATATTCTACCCAGAGACCCAGAACAAGATCTGATTGGTTGCTTTCTTTCTAACACAAAACCACTGAAATGCGTAGAGCATGGTCCGAGAAGGAAAAACAAATCAACGTAACACTGTAATATTACAGATCAACAACACAGATACCATTCTCATTATTCATTTTATTACATTTTATTTATATAATTAAATCGATTTTTTGTTTGTTTTATCTGAGTGTTCCAGGGTATTCTCTGAATACCTTGAAGGCCCTGACGGTTCGCCACTGTGCTTTTAATGGTAGTAGAGAAACTTCACATTATAAAGTCCTTTATTTACGGTCCTAAGTAGCCAAACCATAGGCGGAGTTTGACATTTGCGCTTGGGGGGGCAAACCTTTTTTACTGACGTCAGTACACAGTCCCAACTATTGCGTGGGGTGCTACGGATACATTATAAATAAAGCCAGCGCTCACCGCACTGAGTATTACTTTTCCACATACAAACACAACTCGTCCCGACACCCAACAACAGTGCATTACATAACTATAAAACGTATCATAACTGTGCACATCTTAGAACCTCTAGCTCTTGGACTTGTTTTGTGAATTCTCCGGCCGAAGCTCCAAATAAACCCGTCAGTGTTTGCCATCAAACCTCCAGCTCTCCCTGTGTCTCCTTTGAGTCGGTGACCCCTCCTGCATCGCTACACAGAAGTTTCCCCCACAGCAGTGCAGAAGAGGTATTAGTGGTGCTGCAATGTGACCTCATTTGACTTTTCTCTCTCCCCAGGTACCTCTTGTTTTATCACAAACAGTTCCTGGAGTACGAGTAGTTCCCAGCAGAGGAGACGAGGAGACGAGG